CAGCAGACAACTGTTCTCCTCTGGGAGAGGTTCAGATCATCTTCATGTTGAACTTCCTGGCTCCTCCTTGGCCGGTGGTGGTGGTGGGACCGTCCACCTTGCGGAAGGAGGACTCCACCGAGAAGTTGTTCTTGTGCTGCCCTCGGCCCCGGCTCCAGACGAAGAGGAGGAGGAAGCAGAAGAGCACCACGCCCAGGAAGGTGATGCAGCCCATGGCCGTGGAGACCAGGATGGTCTTGAGGTCCAAGGTAAACTTCAAGAAGACCTGTGTGTCATTGTGGAAGGTGTCGTTGAACTCGCTGAGGTACAAAGTCCGGTTTGCGTAGTGGGATCTGTCAGCTGGGTGCCCCTTGACCGTCAGGGTGGCGAAGTAGGTGTCGTTGCCCCCTGCGTTGCTGGCGATGCAGATATAGGTGCCACTGTCCTGGACCTGGGCGAAGCGGATCTCCAGGGTGCCCCCAGGCAGCACGGTCGCTCGCCCCGTGCTGCGGGTGGTGATCATGCGGTGCTGCGGGGACACCCAGGCGATGGAGGGATCTGGTTCCCCGTCCGCCCGGCAAAGGAAGGACACGGACTGCCCTTCCCGGGCTGTCACGTGCTGCAGCTTCCGATCCCTTATCTTGGGCTTCTGGCAGGTGAAGTACTCGAAGAGCACGGAGTCCGGGAAGTCACGCAGGGCATTGCCCTGGATTTCAGGTGGTGAGGAGCACATGGGCTGCTGCCCGTCGAAGTTGAGCGTCTTCCGTCGCTGCAGGATCCAGAGGAGGCGGCAGTCGCAGGCCAGAGGGTTCCTGTCCACCCGCAGCGTCTCCAGCGTGTTGACGGAGTGGAAGGTGCTCTCCTCCAGCGTGGAGAGGAAGTTGCCGGAGAGGTTGAGCAGCCGGATTTGTCTCAGGCCAGAGAAAGCCTGCGGCTCCACGGACACCAAGAGAGCACCCACGATGTGGAGCTCCTGGAGCCGGATGAGGTCTTTAAAGGAGCCCTTCAGCACAGTGCTAATGGGGTTGTAGGACAGGTTCAGGTACCGGAGGTACACCAGGTTCCTCAAGGCAGCGGCGGGCACAGCTGTGATGTTGGTGTAGGTGATGGAGAGCGAGGTGAGGTTCAGGCCCTGGAAGCTGGTGGGGGAGACGTCTTCCAGCAGCGGCCAGTTGTCGATCTCCAGCTGCAGGAGGTTGTAGAGCTTCTTGAAGTTTTGGTCCTCCAGCGCGGAGATGCTGAGGTGCCGGAGACGCAGCACCTCCAGGTTCTGGAGGTAGGAGAGAGACTCGGCCGAGATGGAGGTCAGGTTGCACTTCTCGATGGTCAGCTGCTCCAGGCCGAGCAGCCCCGAGAAGGCCCGTTGGGAGATGTACACCAAGTCGTTATCGCCCACCTCCAGGCTCTTCAGGTTGCGCAGGTCCTGGAACATGTAGTCCAGCAGGATGACGAGTTTGTTCTCGCTGATGTCCAGGAGGGTGAGGTTGGTCAGCTTGGTGAAGACCCCCGGAGGGATGAGCTTGAGCTGGTTCCCCCGCAGCCGCAAGGTCTGCAGGTTGAACAGGTTGCTGAAAGCGCCCGGCTCCACATTGGAGATGATGTTCTCGCTGAAATCCAGCTCCTCCAGCAGTGGGTATGGGGAGAGGTCCCCAGGGTTCAGGCAGCGGATGCGGTTCTTGTTGAGCTCCAGGATCTTGGTCTCGGTGGGGATGCCCTCGGGGATGGAGGTGAGCCGCTTGCGGTGACACACCACAGACTTGATCTGCGGGGCGCACTCGCAGCGGGCAGGGCAGGCAGCCGCCCGCGGGGGGCTCAGGAGGACCAGGTGGAGGACCAGGACCGGGAGCCAACATGTCATTGTGTAGAGCATGGTCTTACGGGCTCACTATCATTCTCCCGTGCACCTGGAAGGGAGAGAGATGCCGAGTCAGCAGCGAGCCCAGGGGAGGCTGACAAAGTCCTGCCCAGCCCCAGATCACCCGTCTGCGGGCTGAGACTGGAAAACGCTCCCCAAACCGTGGCCCATTGCCCTGTAAGGTCCCAGTCCCGCCCCCCCGAAACCCTTGGGACCCCTTCCTCAGCACCTGACAAGTGACCTGGTGATGTGCCCTGTGCAAACCTGGGGCAAACCAGCCTCGCCGCCTGCACGCACCGTTAGGAGAGCAGGGAAACTGAGGCAGGGGGAGATATTTGCAAGAGGAGACACAGCTGCAGACCCACATCCCAGCCTCTGCCCCGCTGCCGCCGATGGTGCACACCCGGGCGCAGGGCACCGTGAGCACGAGCTCCCTGGGATGATGGGGAACATGGACCCACAGGGCAGCGTAGGAGCAAAGAGATGCAGGCAGAGGCCTTGCAACCTTGCGAACACCGGTTGGGACGTCACATCCCCTCTGCTCCCTGCGCGGCTGCGGCGAGGTCTCGTCCAGTGGCACAAATCCTTCCCAGGCCCCGGGCTCAGCGAGGTCCCACAGGACGGGGGATGCTCGGAGCCGCACGTAGGGACCAGTTCTCCCAGCCCCGTCCCCAGCGTCGCCCTCTCGGAGTGGAGATTAAGGCGGCCACGGGCACAGTCTTCGCAGATGAGGGATTAACACCGACCTTGCGCAGCACGGCTGCCCTCCTTTCCAGGGATTAGCACTTCGCCGCCGCTTTCCCTTTTCTCTGCTTCCCCTTGCCCTTCTGTGCCCCAAATCTGCCAGGCTGCCACCACGCCTGGAAACGCACCTCCCAGCGCCCGGGCGAACTCGTCAGCCACCTTTCCGTAATGAAGCACTGTCATTAACCTAATTAAGCGGCAGAGCTGCTCGGTTGGGGTGTTTCTGGGCCTGGCGAGGGAACGCGGGCAATTTGGGGGGTACCGAGCTCAGAGCCAGTCCCTCCAGCCCCCCCCGCGGAGGTGGAGCGAGCAGGGCAGGTCTCAGCCCTGCGCTGGGGGTGAAAGGCCCAAAGAGAAAATATCCCAAACGAGCTGACTGATGTGACCAGGAGTGGTCCAGCACCTCCTGCGGTTGGGTCCTCACCCCCCTCCGTCCCCGAAGCAGCGCAGGGGCAAGAGCCTGGGCAGAGCAT